TCTCTCGGTCTCTTTCTCTCTACTTTGAAGAAAGTGGTTTTGAAGAAAAGTAAATGCCACAAGTCCCACAGCCTCGGGAAATGAGTTCCACCAACAGCCTGAGGGTGCCTGGGAGTGAACTCGTCCCATGGAGCCTCCAGGTGAGAGCCCAGCTGGGGCCGACATCTTGACTGCAGCGTGGCAGAAGATCCAGCTAAGCTGTGCCTGGACTCTCGAACCAGAGAAACTATGAGATGGCAAATGTGTGTAGTGTGAAGCCACTAAGTCTGTGACACCCTGTTTTACCTCAGTAGACGATGAGCACACCCATTTTACAGGTAAGGACAGTGGGGCTATTAAACATGTTGCCCAGGGCCTCCCCAGGCTTTAAGTTATTCTTTCCATTGGATTCTAAAACAGTAACAAAACCTACCTTTTGGGGGCACTTACGACACGCCAGGCATTGTGCCAGGTGCTTCACATGTGTCATTTCCTTTAATTCTCAAAAAACGCCCGTGCAATAGGAACCACTACCATCTTATTTTATAGCTAAGTAAACTGAGGTCACAAAGGTTAATTTGCCCCAATTCACAGATATGTAGTGTTGAAACCAGGGTATGAACCCAGCCACATTGAATCCAGAGCTCACATTTACTCTTAAATCTGTACTTACTGCTTCTTGGAACTATGCAACATAACTGCAGGTGTGTTCTGATAAAGTGGGAAGGTGCCGGCCTCTGACCTAGGCTGGGGTTCGCAGAGCTGAAACTGGGCGAAGAAACTAAACGTGAGGCTGGACAGTGTCTCTCAATGTGCAGAGCACAGAGCTAAGTCAGTACTCAGTGAAGAAGTCTCAGGGAACAAAACAATCTGAAAAGAGTGCCATCATGAGGACTCTGGGAAGGGACTTCAAAGCCTGAGTGAAGGAAGAACTTGGTGATAGCATCTTCATCAGGGACACATCTGGGTACATGTGTGGTTGCTAGACCTGAGATAGAGGGTACATTAGACTTCCTGTAAGTTCAACTGCCTCCCCCAAAGCTGCAGGCTCAGCCTTATGGGGGTAAGTCTAGAGCAATTCTGCAGGTAAATTCTGCAGAAAGGCCCCAAGAAATTTGTCTCCCTGCCAGAAGAACCCTGTCAACTGTGGAGTTATGAAACAGACAGTGTAACATTGGAGCAAAGCACAGAATACTCAGACCTGGGAGGGTGGCCTTAGGCCAGATCTAAGGTGGACCCTGCCATCATCCTATGGCCTGGTCATTTCAAAGATACTGCAGGAAAGCTAAAGAGAGAAAGCCAAGTAAAAATGGGATCCAGGGGTTACATATCTCAATTTAGCTTGACCTAGATTCTGTTTTGACAGCATAACAGGCTCTGTGCCCAAAGATGAACAAGATGTAGTCCCTGCCCTCAGGGAACTCATAGGCAAGCAGAAGAACTCATAGAACTCAGCAAACAACCAGAACACTGGAAGGCTGACGTAAGCTATAGCAGAGGTCCACACCAAATACAGAAGAAACACTAAAGCAGGAAAGACTGAGTCCCAACTGCAAAACTGAAGAAGGATTCGTGGAAGGTGGCATTTGGCATGATTCTGGAAAAATGTCTAGGTCCCAAATAGGTAGAAGTAAGAACAGCTTGTTCCACAAAGAGGAAGTATTGTGTTCAAGAATATAGAGATGAGAGATACCAAGTGTATATACAGAAGAGCAAGGAACAAATTTGACTACTGTGTGAGGGTCAAGGAAGGCTATGTACTGGGTCATAAAGGGAGAAAATATGAGATGAGATCATCTGTGGTCATTACTCTATGATTAATGGGGACAATGGGGAACTCTAAAAGATTTTGGAAAGGCAAATATTTAAATCTGCCTGACACTTAAAGAAATGTCATTTCTCCCTGTGTAAAAGAGTTCTGGATAAAGAAGGGCATTATTTCTTAGAGTATTCTAAGGAACACTGGCCACATGCAAGTTTCCATAAAATAAAGAGTCCTGTGGTAAAATAAATATCAGAAATGCAGGTATTCCTTTCTTGAAGATCTGAAATGCATGTCAGGATATTAGAAGCCCCGGGAAGTACTGCAGGATGAAAAGCTACTTAACTCTGTATCACTCGGTGTTTTCCCAAGTATTTCATTACTGATTTTTCTCTTTGAACAAACACGTTTAACACTTCTTACAACTATGAGATGTATTGTTGCCAAGGGTGCATGGTCTGTGTTCTTCAGTTTTTATGCCAAAGCAGAGCTTTGTTAGGGAATGTCCAATTCCTTATTACTTCCCACAAGGGAGTTGAGAGGCCGATTTCTCTTCTATGTTTAATGAGTGAGGCTGGTTAAAAGGGATGAACTGAGGATGACTCTACAAGGTGGGCTGTCATCTCACAAAATACTTTACTGAGTCTGTCTCCTCTGCTTCAAGGAACAGAAAACTTGCCATATTCATTGTTGTCTCAGCTTTTCAAGGCCCCGGAAGGACTTGTGTCGAAACAAGTATGAGAGCATTCCACATTAATTACAAGTGTCCATTATAAGGCCCAGGAGATGTTGTGCAGGCAAATAAATGGGGCCAGAAAAGATCTGTAAAAGCACCTACGATAAAACCAGACCTAAACTGCCAGAGGGTCTTCCTTGGAATCAGGAGCATAATTCAGCCATAAAATGAGTCATAGCTGCTCCTTCTCTCTCCTTCCACATAAACATTCCGTGCCTCGTGGAAGGATTCTTTACCATCTATTCCGGGCAACAGACCCAAAGATACTGCACAGAAAGGGAGCATGATTTGTCTATAAAAATGTTGTAATAAGTGATTTTATAGAACTGAAATGCCAGTTCCTTTACTACCTCCTCCCACTCATTTTACAACCAGTTAATATTTTTCGGAGCTGTTGTGTTGTATTCCACCCAGCCGCCTCTGCAATCTTTGTTGCCTATTTTTCTGCCAGAGCCACAAGAATAAAGCTGTCAGATGGTCTGCGAAGCCATTTGTCTTGTCTGGCGAATTCGAGGCGACCATAACCTCCTACCTGCTCCACTATATAAGAGAAGTAGCCTGTCTTAACAAAGCAAAATTTAAATATTCTTTCTATCTGTGTTATCTACAAGCATCTAGGATGAAATCAGCGACAATCTATTTCCCTGACAGTTTCTGACCTTGTTCCGGGGGGGAATGGGGTAGGTGTTCCTATTAAGCAGGGCCTCATATTGACCTGCTTACAGAGAGGTTACATGGCTCTCCGGCAGGAATACTGCAAGGTGTGTGAACTGTAATAAGAAATGTGACTGCTACAAGAGGAAGGATACAGCATGAAAGTGCCCCACAAGAAGAAGATTAAGAACTGCACTGAGCTAATGGTATACAGTGGTTGGGCTTTGAATGTGATGAGGATTTATGGTTTCAATTAGGGCTGGAGAGCAATTTTAGAAAGTTACTAGCAGGCGACTGGCATTCTCAAAGATGGCTCATTTGTGTATTGCTCAAGATGAGCTGGGTCTTTTAGTTGTTTACAAACACACATGGTGGCTTGCATTGAATGTGCGGAAGTGACTGCAATATTGCATATTCAGAGCTCTTTAGCAGAGCTGAAGGCTGCTGCTTTGGTTTCTGAGTGCTCCTGTGTGGGCCAAGCAAAACTCAATTTTGCAGCAGTTTCTTCATTGAAAAGAAAAGTTGAGTTTCCCCACCTGTCCTAAACTCTGATACACTATTTCAAATGAACAGCTTCGCCATTCAGCATACTCCCTCATATTTAAAATTCTTAAATGCCTCAAATACTCCATGTTTGTGCTGCCTCGAATACAAACAAATTAATTTTTAAAATCTCCCCACTGGGGCTTCCCTGGTGGTGCAGTGGTTGAGAGTCCGCCTGCCGATGCAGGGGACGCGGGTTCGTGCCCCGGTCCAGGAAGATCCCGCGTGCCGCGGAGCGGCTAGGCCCGTGAGCCATGGCTGCTGAGCCTGCGCGTCCGGAGCCTGTGCTCCGCGACGGGAGAGGCCACAACAGTGAGAGGCCCACGTACCGCAAAAAAAAAAAAAAAAATCTCCCCACTGGAATGGTTTGCCCTGAAACCCATAAATCTTTGCGTCCAAGTGCTCATGTTTTTCTCTTTTAAAGCCTTGGGGCATTATTCATGAGGTGCAAAAATCTCTCAAATAAATTAGAATACTGGTTGAGGCATCTGCAAACACAACAAAAAGCACTCAATCCCAGATTCTGGAAAGCTGTGCGTGCCCTTGAAAGCAGTACATCATCTTGAACCAGCAGACCTTGACCTTGGCATCCCATGGAGCCCTGAAACAGTTTACCTAGCCTGTTCATACAGGAAATACAAGGTAACCCTTCCCACACATGGTCCCATTAGGCTTTCCCATGAACAAGTCCTTGGTCTAGGGAACATGTTCTCACTGCCGATAGTCTCTGCTTCTCATGAGCCTGTTCTACATGGCCATTGAATGCTTTGATCCCAATCTTCAAGTGGGTAAGAAATACCCATTTTCTATTTTCCCTACTTACTTATGTCCTAACTATTTGAAAAACAGATATTTTAAATTAAAAATATATTTTCCTAAATCAGATTAAGGTACTCAAACCTTTATTCCTCCAGCTGAGGGAAACTAGTGTGTGTGACTTGAGTTCTGGGAGATTTATCTGATAGAAAACAGGGGCAGGGTCTGCTGACATCGACCAGCTCTATTCCAATTGTTGACCCATGAAGCTGAACATCCTTCTACTTCTCTGTCAAGAGACACACTGCTATGCACCCATTCCTTTCTGAGGCCCATCTCCTTGTTCCTTGACCTTCATAAATGAAGTCAATGAATTCAGGTATTTACACAACATAATAGGAGCAGAGATTCCAAGAAGATTTTGTTTTTAGTTCTGCCAAAATCCAAAGGCAAAGAGAGACCAAGGCTCTCTGTTTGGAATTGAGGAGAGATAAGAGATCTCAGAAATGCAAATATCTCTAAAAACTTATCCTGCCTTCAGGATAAGAAGTCAAGAGTTCCATTCTTTACCTTTCCTTTCTAGGAAACGAGCATCCTCCTCTCAACTTTGATTATCCTGAGCCTTGGCTGGAGGAAGCAGGAATGTTCTCTGAGAAGGTGGGATTAGATTCTGGGCCACAAGGAGATGAGGACATGGTTTTGATGGTGGGTGTGAGCAGACAACCATGATGTGAATTCCACCTGTAAGAGATTATGGCACGTACAATGGTCAATCAGAATGGACACCCATAAAATTAGTGCTGGTTATAGAAATGATATGACTGTACTGGTAAACACTGGCTGAATATTAGCTCTGGAATTATATAAATATTGGGTGATTTTATTCAACACATTAGAAGAATGTTCTAGGACTGAGCCAGGGAGGTACTAAAAAAATACTCCCCCACCTAAGTCAGAGATATATAACAACATAAAACAATATAAAAATATTATGAATAATATAAAAATATTATGAACTGTACATGGATTTGTATGAATATTTTATGTATATCCATTCATGTATACATGTATTCATACAAACACATATACATATGTGTATACATATGTGTATACACACATGTATATATCCACATGAAGGTAAATAACAAATAATGGCTCGACACTGATAATTCAAGTCCATACTTCAGAGATTTGTCAGCCAAGGGGAGAGGGAGATGGGGTTTTGATCTACCAATTCCCATCAGTCACTGGTGGAAAGCTGCTCTGGGAACATGAACTCTCTGGCACTTGAAGCCTATCCTATAAACACGCCAGCTGAGTGGACTGGCTGAAATGGCCAGAAAAAGCCCTGAGGGAGAAAGACATAGTGGCTTGCAGCCAGAAGCCATTGGGTCTGTGAACAAGGAAATGGTGAGAGCTTCAGGGCTATGAGCAAGCCAACACTGTTTGCTTTAGCAGCCAAGTACCCCAGGCTGACATCTGCTCAGCTTCAAGTCCAATGGATGAAAGATGACCCTCCCTTTCTGATAATTTTAATCATTCTGATAAAAGTTCTTGAATATACATCTTAAAGCCTTTTGTAGGTTTGAGTGCAATGCTGTGGTTTGTCAAGCCTGGGTCATGTGGCAGCAGCCAAAAATATGAAGAAATAAGAGATCAGCCAAGATGGCAGAGTAGAAGGACCCTGGGCTCACCTCCTCTCATGGGCACACCAAAATCACAACCATTTACAGAACAACCATCGATGAAAAAGACAATATCCTACCAGAAAAGACCTTATACAACAAAAGACATAAAAAGGAACCACAACAAGATGGGTAGGAGAGGCTGACTCACGATATAGTCAAGTCCCATACCCACAGGTGGATGACCCACAAACTAGAGAATAATTAAGTTGCAGAGGTTCTCCCAAAGGAGTGAGAGATCAGAGGACCAAGTCAGGCTCCCCAGCCTGGGGGTCCTGCACCAGGAAGATAAGCCCCCAGAATATTTGGTTTTGAGGCCAATGGGGCTTACTTTTGGGAGTCCCAGAGGGCTGGAGGAAATTGACTCCACTCTTAAATGCCACACACAAAATCTCCCCCCCTGCCCGGGACCCAGGGCAGAAGCAGTGATTTGATAAGAACCTGGGTCAAACCTAGCTGCTGATCTTGGAGAGTCTCCTGGCGAGGCAGAAGTCAACTTCAGCTCACCCTGGGGACACAGACTCTGGCAGTAGCCATTCTTGGGAGCTCCTGCTACCACATGGACACTGGTGCTGGCAAGTGCCATTGTGTAATCCTCCATCTAGCTTATTGGCTCTAGGCCCTAGCCCTTCCCTGGCCCAACAGCCTGTAGGCACCAGTGCTGGGATGTGTCAGGCCAAGGAACCAATTGGGTGGGGACACAGCCCTTCCCATTAGCAGACAGGCTGCCTCAAGACCTCCTGAGCCCACAGCCACCTCTAGACATGGCTCTGACCACCAGAGGACCCAGGACACAGCTCCACCCACCAGTGTGTAGACACAAGCCCCAGAACACCCTGGGCCCCAACACTGCTCTCCAGGAAGACTACTTTAGCCACTAGACGAACTTCATCTACCAGGGGGCAGAAACCAGATGCAAGAAAACCACAATCCCATAGCTTGCAGATCCAGCCTGCCCAGCAGCAGGCCAGAATCTGCCCTGAGACCAGCTGGGCTCTGACCCTACTCACAAGCAGGCCAATACAGCCTTCAAGACACCCTGGACCATGTTCCAAAAAAAGGAACAAGATAAAACCTCAGAATAAGAACTAAATGAGGTGCAGATAGGCAATTTACCTGAGAAAGAGTTCAGGGTAGTGACAGTAAAGATGATGAAAGAACTTAGGAGAAGAATGGATACACAGAGCAAGAAGATAGAATTTTTTAACAGAGTTAGAAAATATAAAGAAAAACCATACGGAGATGAAGAATACAATAACTGAAATGAAAAATACTCTAGAAGGAATCAACAGACTACATGATACAGAGGAAGGGATCAGCATGCTGGATGACACAGTAGTGGAAATCACTGATGCTGAACAGAAAAAGAAATGAGGACAGTTTAAGAGACCTTTGGGACAACATCAAGTGCACTAATATTCACATTATAGGGGTCCTGGAAGGACCCCTATAAGAGAGAGAGAAAGAGGCTGAGAACATACCTGAAGACACAATAGCTGAAAAATTCCCTAACTTGGGAAAGGAAACACACATCCAAGTCTAGAAAGCACAGGGAGTCCCATACAGGATTAATCTAAAGAGGAACACACCAAGACACACAGTAATGAAAATGACAAAGAATTAAAGATAGAGAATATTAAAAGCATCAAGGGAAATGCAACCAATGACATACAAGGGAACTCCCATAATGCTATCAGGTGACTTTTCATTGAAACTCTGTGGGTCAGAAGGGAGTGGCACAATATATTTTAGGTAATGAAAGGGAAAAACTTACAACCAAGAATACTCTACCCAGCAAAGTTCTCCTTCAGACTTGATGGAGTGATCACAAGGTTTACACAAGAAAAAGTTAAGATTAAGAGTTCAGCACCACCAAAAAAACTTTCCAAGAAATGTTACAGGAACTTCTCTAAGCAAAAAAGAAAAGGCCAAAACTAGAAACATGAAAATTATAAAAGGAAAAAGTTCATTGGTAAATGCACACATACAGTAAAGGGAGGAAATCATCTCATGCACAAAGCTAGTAGGAAGGTTAGAAGACAAAAGTAGTAAAGTCAATTATATCCACAGTAAGCAGTTGAGGGATACACAAAACAATTAGATATAAAATATGATACCAAAAGCAGTAATTGTGAGGGGAGGAGAGTACAAATGCAGGATTGTTAAAATGCATCTGAAATTAAGAGATCAGCAACTTAAAACAATCACGAATATATATAGATTGCTATATAAAAACCTCATGGTAACCAAAACCGAAAAGCTATACTAGATACACACACAACATAGAAAAAGGAATCCAAATATGATACTAAAGACAGTCATCAAATAGTAAGAGAAAAGAACAAAAGAAGAAGAAAGGACAAAGAAGACCTACAAAAATAACCGCAAAACAATGAACAAAATGGCGATTAGAATATATATATCAATAATTACTTTAAATGTAAATGGAGTAAATGCTCCAATCAAAAGACACACTGTGACTGAACAGATACAAAAACAAGACCCGTATATATGCTTCCTACAAGAGACTCACTTCAGCTCTAAAGACACACACAGACTGAAAGTGAGGGAATGAAAAAGGGTATTCCACTCAAATGGAAATCAAAAGAAAGCCGAGGTAGCAATACTTATATCAGACAAAATAGACTTTAAAATAAAGACTGTTATAAGAGACAGAGAAGGACACTACATAATGATCAAGGGATCAATCTAAGAAGATTAAATAATTGTAAATACATATGCACCCAACATAGGAACATCTAAATATATAAAGCAAATATTGACAGACATAGAGGGAGAAATTGACGGTAACACAATAATAGCAGGGAACTTTAACACTCCATTTACATCAATGGACAGACCATCCAGATAGAGAATCAATAAGGAAACACTGGCCTTAAATGAAATACTAGGCCAGGTAGACTTAAATGAAATACTAGGCCAGGTAGACTTGATTGATATATATAGAGCTTCCCATCCAAAAGGAGCAGAACACACATTCTTTTCAAGTACACATGGAACATTCCCCAGGATAGATCACATGCTAGGTGACAAAACAAGTCTCAAAAAATTTAAGAAAACTGAAACCATATCAAACAATTTTTCCAACCACAATGCTATGAGACTAGAAATCAATGACAAGAAAAAAACTGCAAAAAATATAAACATGTGGAGGCTAAACAACATGCAAATAAACAACCAATGGATCACTGAAGAAATCAAAGAGGAAATTTTAAAATTCCTGGAGACAAATGAAAACACAATGATCCAAAATCTGTGGTATGCAGCAAAAGCAGTTGTAAGAGGAACGTTTATAGCAATATGAGCCTACCTCAGGAAATAAGAAAAAATACAAACAAACTAATCCTACACCTAAAGGAACCTGAAAGTGAAGAACAAATAAAATCCAAAATTAGTAGGAGAGATATCATAAAGATCAAAGCAGAAATCAATGAAATACAGTAAATAAATAATAGAAACATCAATGAAACTAAGAGCTTGTTCTTTGAAAAGATAAAAAAAATTGATAAATATTTAGCCAGACTCATCAAGAAAAAAATATAGAGCCCAAATCAAAATCAAAATGAAGAAAGAGACATTATAACCAACACCACAGAAATACAAAAGATCATAAGAGACTACTACAGATAACTACCTGCCAATAAAATGAAAACTCAGAAGAAATGGACAAATTACCAGAAATGTACAATCACCCAAAACTGAACCAGGAAGAAATAGAAAATATGAACGAGCCAATTACCAGTAATGAAATTGAATCAGTAGTTTAAAAACTCCCAACAAACAAAAGTCCAGGGCCAGAGGGCTTCACAAGTAGATTCTACCAAACATTTAGAGAAGAGTTAACACCTATCTTTCTTAAACTATTCCAAAAAATTGCAGAGGAAGGAATGCTTTCAAACTCATTCGATGAGGCAAGCATCACCCTGATACCAAAATCAAAGAGAGATTTCACAAAAAAAGGAAATTACAGGCCAATATCACCAACGAACATAGATGTAAAAATCCTAAACAAAATATTAGCAAACCAAATCCAAC